GCGGCACTTTGAGTTTGTGACCCCTGGGGAATCGGTGGGGACTTGCATGGTGCGTGGGAGCCAGTCGGAGGCCGTTACCTGGACAGGCGTGGAGCAGATCCAAGTGGACACTTTCAGCTGGGACTTGCCCATCAAAGTCCTTCCCACCAACCCCATCCTGGCCTCCTACGTGTCTCAGTTCTCCAGCACCAACTCCATCAGCATCTAAGAGTGGGCAGAGCCGGTAGGAGCCTGCAGTGCTACAGGCAAGTGCGGATGGTGGCAGGACTGTGGGCAGCGGCGCCTTGGAGTGCCCCTGCCGCGAGGGCGCCAGGCAGCCCCGCCCGCCTGCCACGGAACAGCCCCACGTGCCTTTAGCCCTTGAGGGCCTTCCAACAGAGACGGCCCAGCCCGAGGAAAGGAGAGCAGAGCTCTTCTGCTGAAGCCTCGGAGCAGCCCTGTGTGAAGGCTGTGTCCCTGCTGCGGGACCCCACAGGCAGGGTTCTCATTTTCAGGTGATCCGTGCTGGCCACCTGAGCGGGTTGGATGCTGCTCGCCGAGGAGGCTCTGTCCTGGTGCACATGTCCTGCACCGTGGAAGGGCTGTCTTGTGAGCCCGGCTCAGCACCCCTGTCACCCCAGCCCAGGCAAGGACGGGCCAGCCCTGCCAATGTGTGCTGGTGTTCAGGATGTAGCCAGGCGCTTTGGCACTGCAGCTGAGCGAGGTGGCAGCATTATGGTGTTGATCCCAAACTGAGAAGTGCAGAGGTCTGGGCTCCCTCTCGGTCACAAAGGCATCCTGCAGGTCTCGGGGTCCTTGCAGAGCAGGAGCAAAAATGGGTGCTGTGCATTGCTGGAGCTGGGCTTGAGTTCAGGTCTCATTGCTGAACAGCCCACTCTGCATTTCCACCAAACCTTTCAAAGAGTTTTCCTCTTCATGGGAATCTAATAAACATCTGAATGTGCAAACTCCATCTTGCAAAGTGCCTTTTTCCCAGCCCTGATCCCGCTGCCACAGTGGATGCAGGGTGTC